CCAAACCCTAACCCTAACCCTAACCCTAACCCTAACCCTAACCCTAACCCTAACCCTAACCCTAACCCTAACCCTAACCCTAACCCTAACCCTAACCCTAACCCTAACCCTAACCCTAACCCTAACCCTAACCCTAACCCTAACCCTAACCCTAACCCTAACCCTAACCCTAACCCTAACCCTAACCCTAACCCTAACCCGCACGCGCTCTACCATACAAATTGTGGCCGTGGCAGATGGTCACACCCAACGCTCCGGTAAAACACGCCCAGCAGTTATGCACACACCGAAAGATATGGTCAAACACACCGCACAACGGCAAAAAGTCCATACAGAGAAGACGCGGCCTTTCACAGCGGTTATGGCTCACTGTGCGCGTAAACTGCGAGACGGCATCCACACAACAAACGCACACACCGCCAGCAATCATCCACCAATGGACGAGGAGGAACGACACACCGCCATCGCCTCCAGTTCAATCCCACAGACAAAGGGATACGGCCACAGACCGCTGCCGGCATACAACGCACACGGAGCAAGCAATCTCCCAAAGAGTCACACGCGGAAGCGATTCCTTATCCACCCATGACGCGGCGCCTCACTCCACGCGGTCACACGGAGTGCACTGTTTTCACAATAGAACTTACCCTTCGTCTATCCCTTGAAGATGCTTCACTTAATGATCGGTCCTAGAAAAAAATAGAATAAAAAGGAAAATGTATTAATAATACGATACAGTTAAAGACAGTAATTCCTTAATAACAGAGCAATTCTGTTATCACGTCTTGTCTACAGACAGAAGAATTCGCATTACTATAAAACTTCTTCAATATTTTCTTACCATTAATTAAAATGCCCCTGGCATCCCTGATTTGTTTTTCTGTCATTGTGAAGGAATATCGCGTTGTAATTTTTTGGCATCTGTGCGTATTACTCCTAAAGGGGATGGTGCACCGGTGTCGTATAAAAAAACAAACACTCACATGTATTAAAAAACTCGAAATATGTTTTTCACCAAAAATATAAATTTCCCTTTCCCCACTTAATTTCTTCTGTCACTGCTATTATCACTCGCGTTGAACATTCTTAACACTTTTTTGCGGTGCTGCCGCGTGATGCTGGTGCATCCGCAACGTATGGACACAAAAGTGTCTGTATATATTTATATATTTCGAAAAAAAAATTTACCATAAATCAAAATGTCTCTTTCACTTTTCATTTCCTATTCTGTTTCCTGTTCTTGTTCTTCTTCCACAATTGGGAGAGCTTCTTTTCTTCTAAAGTCTCTGGATGATACAGAAACTTGGTACTGGTGTACCTCCTTCTCCCAGAACGCCACAATTTCTTTTTCATCGTCGCTCAAATTATTGGTTTCGACGGGACCGCATCTCTGCCAGCCAGTCATGGGCGTGCTGTCTGCGTGTTGTATGTAAATAATCTCCCACGACAAACCTTCAGAAAATTCCTCCCAACCATTAAAATATGCCGCCATTTTTTCTTTGAACTGATTCACAGTGCTGGGTATGGTGCGATGCGCACTCGCCGTAGTAATCTGCAGCCCAACCAGCGTCTTCGGATTTGACTCCATGAAGAAAAAGGCGTCCACCAACGGAAAGTTTTGGGCCACCGGTTTGTACAGCACCCGAGACTCTATTTCAATCTTCTTCTTAAAATTTTCCAGTAACGGTAAAGGAAGGGGCTTGAGAGGGCGCTCATGTGGACGTGATTCCAGCGCACAGCGGTGTGGCGGAGCATCTTCTTGCAGTTTCAGCTCCCTGAGTTTCGGTATTATTGCATTTACAAAGGCCTCGCTCAAAAACGTAAACACAGAATACTTTTCAAGGGCTTTTGATAAGAGATCGTCCTTGATGGCCAATACGAGTAAAATAAAATCATTCGGCGCCATTAATTCCGCCAATTTGCATAAAGTTAAATTTCCGAGATAAGAAGACATCAGTCCGTTAAAGGTCGATTCAATATTGTGTACTCCTCGTACTCGGACGATCCTCACAAGTTTGTGAGACACTTTGTCACCGCCCAACATTTGCGTAGTTCCGAAATGAAGGTAATATTCGGCATCGATGCGGTTCAGTTTATCAACAGTATCTTTGCACGATTGAATCCGACCATTGTATTTGCTTTCATCAAAGATGTAGCGAAGAAGTGGTCCCACTTCTTTCATTCGATCATTTATCTTCCTCCAGTACCCAGCTTGCACACTTGGCTCATTGCGCTTCATCCAAACGCACATCGCTTTCACATCGTCTTTTTTAGGACAATTCATTATTATTCGCTTTGGTGACTTGTATTTCTCCCATGCGCCAAAGTTATTCTCGTTTGGCGATGTCACCACGATCATGCCCCATAAGCGAGAATTAGGCATCGGATACGGTTTACGGCCATCTTTTGCCACGTCGTATATAATATACGCATTCACCCCACGGAGAGACAGGGAAGCAAGAACATGTTCAATACCGGCCCCACCCATGTATTTTGTCACCGTCTTGTCGGTCTTTTCAAATAAGAATGTTTCATTTCCAATAACGTACACAACCACAGGGAGCTTCTTGATATCGTATTGCAGCAGCCGGTAAAGGAGGTACGAGCCGGCATTCATCGACTTCCCTATCCCGGGCGTCCCAATTAACAGAAGCCGCCCAGGCGTAAAGTAGGGCTCACCGTCAGTGCTGAACCATTCGGTGAGATAATGCTCGACGATCTGCCACGCTCGCTCCACCTCACAGTTCACATGGCAGTCACGAATGAATTCATCCTCTTCCCACGAGTATGGCCATCCCTTGTCCGAGGTGAGCACCATCAGCCTGAGACGCTCTGCACCGGATTGCTGCGCACCGTCATCCTTTTCGCGGGTTTCGCCAACTTTTTTGTACGTCCATGACTGTTCCGGTTTCCCCTTCTTCACATCCATTCCCATCCCCGTTTTATTTCGCTCCACGCCGTCAGGAACTTCCACCACATGGCTCCAACTCGCATTGTACACAGACTCGTAGTATCCCTTCAGCACCGTTGATGTAACCACGGACGTTGATATCTGCGCCCGAGAAAGGGCAGCGTCCAGTGTTCCCCTTGCAAGAGTAGTGACCGTATCCTTTCCTTCATAGTCCCTCCATTGCTCGAGAGAGAACACACCCTCGTGATGAAGCTTGTGTACATCTTCTTCCATATACACTTCATCCATTACAGCCCTCCCCATGCTCAAATAAGGACCTGTTTTCCTTATTTCGTTCAGTACTCTCGCATTGTGGATATACTCCGTGGGTTGCTTAAAAAACTCCTCCAGCGAAACATCCCGATTGGTAGCCACAATGCCCTTTCCGCCAAATCTCAGCGTAAGAAAATCATTCAGCTTTATGTCCTTGACGCGAACTCTTCCTCTAAACAGCACACCTCTGATCGTAGTAGTTAGGGTAAATTCTACTTCTTCCTCCCGCCACGCCCTTTCTTCTTCCTCCCGCCTTTCTTCTCTCAGTAACTGCATGAGTACTCCTTTTAGTTTTCTCCTTGCAATGGGAGTGACTGTGTCCTTTTCTTCATAGTCCCTCCATTGCTCGAGAAAGAATACACCCTCGTCATGAAGTTTATAAATAGCATCCAACTCTTGGTACTCTGTTAAATTAAAAATAATTCTAAGAAGCCGCTGGTCTTGTACGTAAGCATCCGGCTCCTGAAAAAACACCTGCATCGTCACGTTGTGGTCTTTCACCAACAGCCGCCGTGCCGCCAACATAATTCCGAAGGAAATCGTTCAGCTTCATGTCGGTCCTGAGTGTGCTTCCCTCCAGCAGAATGTCCTTTACGCTGCTGCTCATGGTCCAATTTGGTCGCCGCGTTTCCTCAACTCCTCTGCGAGCTGCAGCGTCGGAACCATCACCGGGGATGCCGCTTCGAGGCGCCATCACAACACCCGTGCGGTGAAGCATCCCACTCGCACCGCCTAACTGCGGCCAGCAGGTGCCGCTGGCTCCAAAGGACAGTCGCGGCTGTTTCCTCCCGCTGTCCCAATGGAGTTGGGCGTGGCACTCGCACGGCGGGGCGGTCGGTGCGCCATGCAGCCGCACTGCAACGCCTGTCGGTGAAACAGTCAAGGCCCACCGCCCCCGCAGCAACACAACGTGCAATCGACCACAACACCGCCACATTAATGTCCTTTTCTATTTTATTTTGTTTTATTCACGTTGTCTGTCCGTGTGCCCTATCACTCACACAAAAAATAAGTGCACACCTTCACAAAAGAATAAAAAGAAAACACGATCCCACCGTCCCGATGCAACTCAGCACTCTCCTCCACCCACCGCCATTGCCGCGCAGGAAAACGCAGTCACATCGCAGAGTCAACACCACAATGTGCACCACACCATCGTGCAGTGAACAATGGGCGAGACGCGGCCATGCACCGCCCCGCTCCATTTTCCCACCACTCAAGTGTTGCGTGTCCGCACAAAAAGTAGCAAACAGAATCAGAGCGCACACAAACCCAATCATCCCCCTCACTTGCTAAACCAAATTATTCGCATGGAGTGGCACTTAAGCACAAAGCACCAATGGCAGGCTGCATGGAATTTCCCTGCCAGCCCTGCAAAGCGACAACAACTCTGCGGAGTCAAGGTGACAGCCCCTCGGTGCTGCCCGCAGTCCACATGGCAGGAAGAATTCCACGCACGCATAGTTCCGGACACCTCGCTGTTTGAGTGCCCAACAGAACATAAGAAAATACGTGCACACAAGATGACGTTTAAATAATTAAACTCTTCAGCCTGTTTTGTTTGATGGTGTTGGCGGGCAGTCCCACACAATCCAATCAAAATGACACGCCGGGCAGAATGGCGTCAGTTGATAAACAAATAATTGCGCCAATGCAAAAAGCAGCTGAATTTTGTTT